TGTACAGATAAGGGCGGGGACAAAGATCGTGATGTCTGCCCGTAGTAAATTGCCTAACATTGATATTACTGAGTTGCCATTATTAGAGAATATTTCACAAGTATTTAGGGAGTTTTAATTGATACTTTTATATTGTTTTATTTATAACAACACTTATTTATAAAATTATAAAAAATATTCGAATAATGTTGAATAAATAATTAGTAAGATTCCAAAAGGTCTTTAAAAATTTGGTATGAAAATGTACACCAAACTATAAATAACCTTTAAACGGTATAAAAAATTTTAAACATAATAGATATTATTTTAAGGGTAAAATAATTTGTTAATCTGTCCACACCGACGGAACTTGCATGTACCGTCAACAAAATCTATTTACGACATAGTCGCCCAAATCGCCTCGGGCGACTAATTAGTGTAATTAGCTTTTAATATTAGTTCATATTTTAATATAAATAAATAAAATGGAAAACATATGGAGAGATAGTAATATTCTGTACAATGTGTTATGTTTTTTAATAACAGAAAATGAGAAACTTTTCGATAGAAGTGACGCGAGATTATATTGGAAGACGGTTTTGCATATATTTTCAATTTTACACCATGCCTACGTTTCGTTGTTCGCTTTTAAAATGGAATCGGCTTTAAAAAATAGTCCCGATTTGGAAATCCAATCGTTGTTTACATTCAGGATGGCGTATCTCACCGGCTGGAACTTTGTAAGTAAATCTTACTATTATATTACTAGCTTACGCCAGCGACTTCTGCGTGGCACAAAAAAAAAGTAAGTAGCCTATGTGTGCTTAAAGACTATCCAGTATATCTTTGTCAAATTTCATCGAGATCCGTTCAGCAGTTTCGGCTACAAACTCTAACAAACATCCATTCATCTAACTTTCATATTTATAATATTAGTATGAAGTATGATAAATGGGAAAATTTAGATGGATGTTTGTAAGAGTTTGTAGCGTAAACTGCTGAATGGATCTCGATGAAATTTGACATAGATTTACAATATAGTTTGAAAGAACACATAGGCAATTTACTTTAGTATTTCAATTCCACGCGGACGGAATCGCGGGCAATACCTAGTTACACTAGGCTAGTAATTTAGTCGAGTACAAAGTGATTTAGTAGACAAAACATTCTCGTGTTTTAATCAACTTAACTAAATGTTCGTTATACACATGTTAAGTAAAATTACTCGATTCTCGACTACATTGTTAGCGAAGGCATTAACATTGTTCTAGTTAATTCGTTATTATTTCATTGGCAATACTTTGTATTTTAAAAAACACATAACAAATAGACTTATCAATAATTTGTTTTTATTTAGATAATATAACTTTGATAGCATTCAACAATACTTCCTTATTCCGCGTAGTGATGGTATACCAATTACGAGTATGTGGTTTAGGCATTATTCAAGTCTTGACAATATTTCTAACTAGCTTTCGCTCGCGTTTCCCTCCGCGCGGAATTAAAAAAATACAAATGCTGGTAGCCTATGTGTTATTCCAGACTATCCTCTACATCTATACCAAATTTCATTGAAATCCGTTCAGTCGTTTAGGCTACAAACTCTAACAAAAATTCATCCATCTAAACTTTCGCATTTATAATATGTGTTTTTAGAGAGTCACTCGTAATGTACGTCACATTTTACTACCTTATTTGATCCTAATTTCATCATTTTAGCTTAGTAATGTTTTTATTTTACCTATATAAAACCAATTCACTTATCTACGTATCATGAACAAAGACATGCTATTGCGAGACTCGTCTTCAATCCCGATAGATAATTATCATGTGCCACAATGAATCAGCTAAACTAAGGTCAGATTAACACGCGCACTTAGCTTATCTAATAGCTTAACTGTATATCTGAGTACCAATTAGTACAGTTGTGTAGTCATAGAGTAGCTATTCATAAACATCTGTAAAACGGATATAAAAAAATAATAAGTCTGTAAAGTTGATTATTTTCGGTTAAAAATTTATAAGACTAACGGATTTTTTTGGAAATACATTAATATTTCTTTCAAAAATTCTAAATAAGTTTAAAGTTTATTCTACGAATGACGGCAATAGTCGGACCATGTGGTTCGACTGCATTCGAACCTTGGTTGGGAAAACACTGGTACTTCGTCTTAACCACTAAGCCACTGGCTCTTCAGTACCAAACTAGATTAGCGTAAGACCATGTATCACAGTCTAAGAGACTCCGCAGACTAAAGACTTCCAATCTATCGACAGTTTTCCTACACACCACCACCCATGGTCCCACCGACCCTCAGGTCATATGGGCCAAATCTGTGGAGGGCGCGCACGCATATGCACCTTCTTGACTGCCTACTTGTTATATTGTGTCTTAATTTGTAACAAGTCTGGACATAACGACAGTTTTATCTTGTCTAGCAGTGATAAAAACAAAATGGGTGCAATGTGCACGCCTTTATACAAGCTCGTCTTGATTAAACGCCTGATTATCGGCCGATTAAGTCTGTAGTCTGCGTGGTTGTAACTCCGTCAGTTGTTTTAATCATAACCTTTAATGTTATTGGTACATACGACACGTGATAGGAACACGTGGTGGGGTTTTACAATATTCGTATAATTATAATGCATTCCTTATTTGCGGTTTGTGTATCTATTTACTGCGATATGTGGTGCAGTTTAACTTGGAGATGTAAAAATAACTATAAAATATTATAAAGATGAACGATTTGTATGTATTTAGATAACTTAGAAACAACTGGACTGTTTTTTAAATTCATTCACCATTAAAAAGCCGCGTTTTTGACTAACTTCCCAAAAGAAGGAGGTACTCAATTCGTCTGTATGTTTTTTTGTGTGTTACGGCATAACTCCGCCGCTAGTGGACCGATTTTGATAATTCTTTTTTTTCCGAAAGGTAATGCTTGCAAGTTGGTCCCATTTTTTTTTGTCTGATTTTTTTACTGAGTAATATAGGGTATGTTTTTTTACTACTTTTAATACACGTGAACAAAGTCGCGAACTGCAGCTAGTAATAAATATTTTCATTAATCTAATTTAGTTTTTATTCAAACATGAAAATTGTTACTTTTATTAGTTATTGATGTTCGATCAGCCAATATCGCTAATGGTTTAGTAAACCTACTAAATCGAAATAAAAAATTATGCTGAAGCGTTTAATATTGAATATAACATAAGGAAAAATAACTATAATTAAGTTACCATGTTACATAACGCCAATCATTTCTTTCTGATATTTTATCGAAAAATAAATGATTCATACTGCAACGTTCAATAAACAGCACTATTACAGAGCCATAGACAACTGCCTTTTTTAGAATATTGCGTTCGTCTTCAGTATAATTTGATTCCTGTATACTGTACAGCATTATTTTCTCTGTCAGCACATAGACAAAACATATCAATAAGGTCGACAGTTCAAACAGGGCACGGGACACACGTGATCGCCGCATGACTTAATTAGTAAATACAATAAATTTCAACACAACGATAAGTGCACAGAGCAACGTACCCGTAGACACTTCCTCTGATTTTTTTAATAGGACACATCCTGTTTTTGTAACAGAATGTTCCTGTGATATGCAACTTGAGGCGGAAACTAAAGTATCTTGTCAACAAAAGCGTATTTAGGAAACTGTAATGGTTGAACTGCATTATAATTTAACGTTTTATTTCGTATGCATAAAACCTTAATTAGGTACAAGTTTAAAAACATCAGTCTTTATTCAGTATTTAAGACAGTTGTAGTTGCAGGAAAGAATAAAACGCTATCATTATTGTGGAGTTAAGGCTCTTGTTAACAATGACGGATATTCCTTGATTGTTGTTTTATCCTTTTCTGATTACCTTAGTACGGAAACTGCTTGAATATATCATTTACGTTTAAAACTAGTCAGACAGGTTAAACGATCAAACAGCTTCCAATTCACAAAAATAAAAACAAAGACAATGGGCGATGGGAATTATATCAAATTAAATACAATTCAGTAAATAAAATACGCAATTAAACATTTTGAAATAAAATTCTAATTCATATTTTTTTTTACTTATTTTCAAGACTCACTTTAGAATATACTTAGCGTGTGTTTTTTTAAATCGCAAACAAAGACTTACTCCTAAATTCTGCATCTACAACGGTGGTTAATAATCAAATAAATTCTGTTATCAGACAATTGGCCTGGATTGTCAGAAAACGTTATCTACGTTTTCACTGCACATTTAACATTGTAACAGCCTTACAAGTAAACGCGGTATAAAGTTTATTCCTAAGTTTAAATTTGTATCGCGTTTATTTGTAAGGCGGAAGGACGTTATAGAATGGTTAACTATTACGAAATACTTTTATATGAACCACATTCATTAAGACTATCTTATTATATCAGACTGGCTTTCGCTTGCGACTAAAAAGACAAAAGTGAGTAGCCTATGTGTTCTTCCAGACTATTCTCTACATCTGTACCAAATTACACCGAAATTCGTTCAGCCGTTTAGGCTACAAACATCCATCCATCCATCTAAACTTTTGCAATAATTAGTTAGATTAGATTAAATTTATTCATTAATTCAATAAGTTCTTGTCCATCACTTTGTAAGCCATATTGTAGTAGCTCACATAAGTATAGTCGCGGTAATCCGCGGTGTGCACTCCAGGCAAAGTTGCCTTGTTCATTGCAACGAGACAATCTCCGCCTCTTCCTAAAAATTAACAATTAGCACAGTAGTCTACACGAAGGGATAAATAAAAAGAAACTAACCGTGGTATAACTAACTGTTTTTTTTTTTCGTAAATTTTATAAGCTACGTTTTATTAATATTTGTTCCGCATCTCGTTAAAAATGTTCCAACGAAATGTTTTAAGGTGAAACACCGCCAGTTTCCTCGATTGTACAAGGTTGATCTACCTTGTTATTTCAGACATCTCTAATATCTTTTTAAGTCATTCATAATCCTAATAACTAAATATTTAATGTACTTGGTTGCAGGCATTCCAGACGATATTCCTGATGCTGTCGCTGGTACACGATTTGCTGGAGTGGCTTGACAAGCAGGACAGCCAGCTTGCCTCGCGTCTACGCTACTGGAGAGACATCGTCTTCTCAGGGCTCGTCTTGCCTTTTACTTTGGTAAACAAATACACCGATTAAGTAATTATTTATAAGGAATCTGCTCCAAGTGACTGTTTAAAAACTCAGAATGCTAACGTCCTTAGAAAATCTTGTGCGATTGTCGATTGTTTCGCATCCAATTCAACTGTTTAGTACAACCTAAAATCGAGTAGTGTGCACCTTCATATAAACTAGGAATCAAATCAAGTCAAAGGTGCTCTTAAAGAGTACAATTTAATCTAAAGAATTGTGCTGTATACTGTAGTAATCAATTTAGGCTTTGATCTGGTCTGTTTTTTTAGTTGTTCTACAATTGTTTCCAGTTCGTGTCATCGATGTTCTGGTGCGTGTACGCTGTAGACCGCGAGCTGGTGTTCCCGCGCGTGTACGACGACGTGGTCCCGTGGTGGTTCAACCACTGCGTGCACACCAACATCTCCGTAGTTGTTCTCATCGAGACGCTGCTGCAGCCCCGCAGGAGGCCGAGGAACTTTAAAAACGAGATCCTAGCCGTCACTATTGTTGATGTCGCTTATGCTATTGTGTAAGTATTCTTTTAGATTATTAATAGTTCTAGAGCACGCTTGACATCTTTGCCCTGAAGGGCCGGAACGCCTGGTGAAATGCCACGACACAGAAGACAGGCGTTTAGTGGCAGGAATTCCTCGTATACTCTGATCAGTGTGGTTCCGGAAACCTAATTTTTGTCCCTTTTTCTTTCCACCCTTTTCTTAAGAAAAAATGTGAAGGAAAAATAAATTTTACGACGGAATCGCATAGGAAGGTGAAATATCCTGGTTATGTGCTTCTGCAATCATGTTGATCGTTCGCCACCTTATAATATTAATAAAAAATAAAATTATTAACATCTTTGTAAATATGAACTTTTAGTATTTTGTCATCTTCTTAATTAACTTTGACAAATTGTGTTTGACCTATGATTTATATAGCTTACATAGAGCGGGCGAACTCCTTTGACTAAACTATCGCAAAACTGTTGCGCCACTGTCGATTGATTAGCAGCCTTCAACTGTTTAATAGGGAATATGCATGTTTTTTTTCCTTTTTTTAAACGATTCTACTTGTTAAAAAAAAATTGACGCGAAAATATTCAACCATTGAACTAAAAATAATAAAATAGAATTACGACCATTTTCGAGCGACTAAAACGCGACCGGAGTTGTCATGAGACGTTAATCGTCTATTCCATTCACAACTTACGCTCAGATGTCACTTCGACGTAAAACACAACAAAGTTTCTCAAAGTAAAAAGGTCAAAAATCGATTTTTTATTATTCCTGATACAAATAAGTGGTAATTAATAATTCTATTCATTAATTTTTTATTTTAAAATTGGTTTTGATATCTTGTTTACAGTAAAATACTTCAAGAGTGTATTTCTATATAAACTAACGTAAATGAACTGTGTATTGACAACACAGCGACGCCATATTAGATAAGCCATTTGCTTCGACCAGTAGTGTGCGTTTTAGAACTTGCGAGGGAATTTGAAAATACACTTTTTAATGATTACATTTTGCCACTAAATCATATTGTATTTAAAAAAAATCTGTTTTTATAGTAATAAAAGTATACTTAAAAACAGTTTGGTGCAATTTGGCGTCAACCAAACATCGAGCACGTAGGAATTAAAGCGCGACGAAACAGTTGTGCGATAGTTTAATAGTATCTTATTCAAAGGTATTCATAAGTAGTAAACAATTTCAGATACTACGGGATCTATTTCTTCACCCACCGCTGGTTGTACAGAGTGTTCGGTGTGATGACGTGGTGGCAGGTGTGTCTGTACCAGCTCCTCATCTGGGGCTCCTCCTACATCTTCTACTTCCTGCAGTTCCCCATCAACAGACTGGTGCACGGAGACGTCGAGGAGACGGAGGTGGCGGGCCTCACGGAGCAGGTGATGAACGCCAAAGATCTTAATGAAGGTAAAATGGAGACAGATTTAAATGCATCCAATTTGTCCAAAAATACTTGGAGTTTGAAATACAGAACGATTGGTAGTAAAATGGAAAATTCACATTTGTAATGTTTTAGGTTTTTAGCTAGATTGTGATTTGCTGGAGGAAGTTCCAAATATACAGAAATATCAACTTGTATAATTTGTAATGTTATGAATGAAAAGCCAGTACTGTTACGCCATTATTTAATAACATTCCTATTATTTTTGATAGTTTGAAATATTAGTTTGAATTTTACAATCATTAATATAATTCAAAAATAAAATATTATTAGTAAAAAAAATAATGCAATTAAAAATTCTCTTTGTCTTAAACTTGTTGACTTTGTTGACTTGTTCTTTTACGTGATAAAATAACATATTAATATGACTGTGATATAAAATAGAACAAAAATACCATCAATTTGAAAATTAAACTCGACTCTTCACAGAAAACAGGCGTGAAGTGGAAGCAATTCCGCGTTTCGTCTGATGAGTGTGGTGCCGGAGGCCTAACTTTAGTCCCTTTTCCTTTCCACCCTTTTCTTAAGGGGAAAGGATCGGAGGGAAAAGTGGATTTGACGGTGGAGGAGACGCATAGGAAGGGGAAATGTCCTCTTTATGTGCGTCTCCTCCTCCATCAATTAGGGTAGGCAACGCATCTGCAATTGCGGATGTTTATGGGCAGCGGTCGCTTTCCATTTCGGTGGATTTAGGTGGCCGCTTGCTCGTTTGTCACCTCGTATTATAAAAAAAAAAAAAATATGGGAACAATGCCAAAGTGAACGAATGGCATTTATTGCCTTTAGTGGAAAGTAAATATTCTATCTCTCTGTACTTATATTTTAGTATATAAAAATAGAATTAATATATTAAAGTTTTTATAACTGAGTCAAGATTACAAGGGACCAAGTTTTATAATATTTTTTTAATAAAAAAAGCTATATACTTGATTTGATTGTATAACAATTTTAACATGAAACGACTATTAAATTATTTTCAGTTTTTTTTAATTCAAAGCACATTTTTTATTGTAATTTCTATCCCAAATTTAGTGAAAACTTGATACGAAAATTGTAAAACATTTAAGAAGTAAATTCTGGTCTAATTTTTTGACAAATAAAGAAATCTGTTTTATCAAATTAAATAAATTTTGTGTAAAATGATTCAAAGTAATGTTTCACAAAATAAATATATTTACATATGTGCTATTTTGATGTGTAAATAAATTATGAATAAAAAATGAATTTTATAAAAATCTATAAAATGTCAGTCAATTTTTAAACAATATAAATAATGTTTTTTGATGCAATAGGTTTTTATAAGAATTTTTACGAATTTAATTATTAATAATTTATAAATAAGAGATTTCCTTGTAACCAGGAATTAAATAATACATTTAATAAAAATATCCGTATATACAAATATGTTCTTTTATTTTCTTATTCGATAAGTTTTTTTCAATGCGGTTCTTGGACAAAGAGATTCAAAAATACAGGGTTATTTGTAATTAAACGTATTGTTCATTTTATATCAAAATTATCACAAATAGAGGGTCCATTTGTGATAATTTCGACTCCCATGATCATTTTATAAAATCCTACTTGTATCTCATTTTTTCTCTGTTGCCTTTGACAGCTTTTCGAAGAGATTATTTAAACAACAGTTATTTATTAAACTGTTACTGATTCTAATTTTTATTCCAAATATACGTTTTTGTTTAATTTTACGCTTTTTGTCGAATTTTAATAATTTTATAGAAGTTTTTTAAAACTAACCGTTCGGGTATGAACCCTATTTTTATAAAATAGTTGACATTTTCCTTTTTTCACATCACTACTAGCGCCATCTATTGACAGATCTTCAAAACCATTAATTGTATTTAACTTAATTGCCAATAGGTGTCGCTAAATAATATATTTATTTTATAACACTATTCTAAAACAAAAGATGGGGAAGGGACTTGTGTCGACATTTTGTGTCCTGGTCAATACCATGACACGAGGTGGCGTACTGAACTTGACAACCGATATTGTACCTTTCAGAGAAAAAACTGGTAGGAAATTTTGTTCAGTATGCCTTGTATAAATATTTTTTAAATGTCTTTGTTCTCGGTATAAGAAATGAAAATACAAAATGACAATTTCCATGTTTTCTTTAATGAATTTAAGAAAAATTATCTTAAGAATTATCAATTACAATTAATTATAAACTTATCAACTGGTTTTATTTATAAAATTTACAAATTTATGAAACTATGGAGAAAAATCACTTAGTACGAAGACTATGTTACAAATTTTTTGCCTACAATTGTCTGTATAGACATTGGAAAATTATAAATATTCTTTTAGTATTAACTAGTATACAATATTATTTCTTTCAAGGTGAACCAGTAATTCTTCTCCGACAGTTGAAGGCTTCAGGTAACCTTTGAAAAAAAACGATTTTCTTAAAAATAGAGGTAACTAAGGAGTATTTATCGACCTTAACTAGAATTATAAGTTGGCAGTGATCGTGTTTTGTTGAAATAATTGCATTGAAGATAATAATTATGAATAGTTTATCGCTAAATAAATATGTATTACCTAGTTCGGAAATTCTAAGTTCAGAGAGATTTTTATTAGATTATTTCATTTAATTGTACAATAATTGTAACCTTTGAAATTAAAAACCATATATCTAAGACTCGTAATTTATTCGCTTATTATAATGTAACTCGTCTTAAAAAGTTTCTTTTAATTCTTTCCTTCTCAAGTCTTTCAAAGGTTACCTGTGATATACGCTTAGAAGAAGCTGCTGGTGGGATGTCGGTACACCAGTTGTCGCGGCGGCCTTGTTAACCCGTCCTCATGGTAACTGACCCTCTGTGGGTGCAGGTAAAACGTGGTGGGTGTCCTAATACTAACCCCTTGTACTTGTGGTCGTTTTCTCGTTTGTAAAGTGCTCAACTCTGACGCAGCGTATTGAGGTTCGGTGTTAAAATTGTTCCTAAACCTCGTGAAGGAATAATCCCTCTCCGGGGACACGACGAAGCCGCTAGGAACTCGCACCTTAGGAGGGATGGAGGCTAGAGCCTCGTTTAACGCCACGTCGTAATCGTTTTCTATAGAATCAGCTAGATTTTGCTTTATTGAAAAATCCTCTGGCACCCGAAGCGGCTTTCCCGTTGCCGTGTAAGGTTTTGAGATTTCAGGTTTCAGTTGCGGCAATTTATTTCGAGCCTCTTTGTCTGTAATTGGCTCGGATGTTGCGAGATAAGGCTTGAGGTAGTCGCCCGGTGATAGCGTAGACTGCAGTTTGTTCCTTATGGCTTCATAATTGTCGTTAAAGACTCTTAGGACTTTCGTGGCGAGGACCTTCGCCTTGTCCGCAGGTGTTGTGGCCACTGTGCTCGTGGTGGTCGTTGGCGTTGTCACTATCACTTCAGTTGTAGTAGTTTCTTTAATTTCCTGTTGCTTTTTCTCATGTACTTCGTATTCAATATCCTCTTCATCGTAATACTCGTATTCTTCCTCGGGTTTAAAATTTTCTTCATGGATTGGTTTCTCGGTGCCTAAAGTTGTGGTCATTCTTTCAGTTGTAGTTGTAGTTGCTTCTGTGTTTATGATTTTGGCAGTGGTTGTTGGAGTAGTGGTTGTAGGAGTAGTCGTAGTAGGGGGAGGCAAGGTAGTAGTGGTCGTTGTAGTGGTAGTAGTCGTGGTAGTGGGTTTAGGGGTGGTATTGGGCGGTATATTTAGATCCTTCCCAGCCACGGGTTGCAAGCCTCGCGGCAGGTAAGGACTTCCACCCCTAGACGGTAAAAAAGGACGTTTAACAACTCTGACGTTAGATGGTCGTACTTCTTTAATCTTAATTACAATATCCTCTTCTTTTAACTTCGGTTTCTCAGTGCTCGAATGTTTTTCCTCCTCGTAGTAATAATCGTCTTCGCTTGTGTTTGGTTTCGCGAGTCGTTCATCTCTGTTGCGTTGATAATAACTGGGTTTCTTTGCTGGTTGGTCGTATTCGTAATCATCATAATCTTCTACTCGTTTCGGGTTTGTGACCTTTTGATTGCCGGGTGCTGTTAGATATGATCTCGTAGGCTTAAATTTTTCTTTTACAACTGGTTCTGCTTTTGGCCTTTGCTGAATTGCACTAGATTTTCCGGAAGATGACGGCTTACTTATTTCTTCTTCGTAATCATCATAATATTCATCATCTATTTTAGGCGGAGGTTTTGTTGTAGCTATAGGAACGTAATCATATTTCTCTTTTTCATTAGCTGGGACGGGACGTTTTATTTTTGGAGGAATACGTGGTTGACTAAAAATTCCATGGCCGTTAGGTTTTACTAATGGCTGACCTTCTGGAGCTGATGGAACTTGTCGTTTGTCTTCTTGTGGTTTATCATCATTCTCGTTATTTTTTTCAGGCTTTAGGTATGCCGGTCTTTCCTCACGTCTGTAAGGTCTTTCGTCTCTGTTATACTGACGGCGTCCTTCGGTTGGCTGATATCGATCTCGTGGTTTAAGGCTATCTCTTTTGCCATCGTCATTTCCCGTATCCTCTCTTAAAGGTCTCCTTTCATCTCGTGGCCGAAGGTCGTCCCTATACCTCGTCTCATCCCTAGGCCTCTTATCTTCTCTAGATCTTACGTCATCTCGAGGTCTAGCATCTCTGGGTCTCGTTTCATCCCGAGAACGGCTCTCATCTCGAGGCCGTATTTCTTCTCGGGGTCGTATTTCATCTCGAGTCTTAGCATCACCTCTTCCGGATGGTATTTCATCCGGTGAAGTGATATCTACGGTGGGCTTTATTTCATCTCGCGGTCTAAAGTTATCCCTCGGTCTACCCTCATTACGGTACCTCGACTCAGATCTAGGCCTTTCTTCGTAAGGCATTAAATCATCTCTAGAACTTTCATCGTCTTGTGCCTTATCACTTGTATCATCGATAGGCCGGTTTTTATCTCTAGGTCTATATTCGTTTCTCTTTTGATCACGAGGTGCAGTGCGAGGTCTGTCCTCGTCGGCGGGTTTATATGGATCTTCCTCAGTATCTCTCGGCCGACCTGGTCTTCTGCCTCCCTTGTAATTAGGACGTCTCTCTGTCATTCTGTCATCATCTTCATAAGGTCTTCTTTCTAGGTATGGCCTTTTCCCAGGTCTTCTGTCATACGGTCTTCTTTCTTCAGCATAATCTTCACTTTCATCCCTTGGCCGCGGTCTAGGTTCATATCTGAAAAACAAGATGTTTAGGTTGTAATCTAGAAATATGTAATTGATAACATAAAAATAATATTGTGTTGCAATGTTTCATTGTTCATTTTGCTTTTAATTATTCGGTACAGATACTTACTTCTCGTCATAGTCATCATAAGGTCTCCTTTTAGCTGGTCGCGCCGGCCTTCCTTGCGGTCTCCTTGTTCTTCCACCTCTGGAATTTTAATACAATTTGGTTTATTAAGCCTTTTTCAATTAGCTCTTCTTAGAAAATTGAATTGTTGAACCCTGAGTTCTTTTGGTTAATGGACAAGTCAAGATGAGGTGAACATTTTTATTCGTGGTGTCAACTTACCTTTCTTCGTATCCATAGTCGTAGTCGTCTCTAGCAGGGTAGTAGTACTCGTCATCGTAGTAATCGTATCTGTAGCTAGGGCGGCGACGTCGCGGTGGTCGTTGTGGTCGCGGTGGTGCCGTGGTCGTCGTAGTGGTGGTCGTGGTAGTTGTGGTCGGCGGGGGCGGTGGCGGAGCTGTCGACGCCGCTTTGTACAGAGCCTCGTTTCTATGGACGACAGTTATATTCAATCAACATTTCAACTTAAATTAAAATTATTCATGTGCAGGGTGCACTTAATGAATATTTCTATGTATCCTGCAAGGTAATACCTGTTGAAGTAATTGGGGGAGTTCTTGCAGTCGACCTCGGAGACGAAGTGGCAGATGAAGGTCTTCTGGTCGAAGGCAGTGTAGTTGGCACACAGGAAGTCATACCGTGTACCGAACAGGCAGTGGTGATATACCTGAGAATACCATATATTAAGTAAGTTTATAAAGAAACAGTAATTTAAGCTGAGTCAGAGCTAAATGAGAATATGGATATCAAACTAAATCCTGGAGATTATAATGGTTCCATACTAAATGGTTTTAAACATATTTTATTAAGAAATGAATATTAGTAAAATACTTTAATAATTTATTTAGTAACCAAAAACACTGACCTGACATTTGTGAGGTACTGAGGCGTAGAAGCCATCGTGCAGGCCGTCACATTTGAAGTCCATTGTCTCGGGAGGAGGCACTGTCTCATAGAACGGGTACTCGGACAGGTTGTACCCATTGAGTTCCCGGGGGAGGTTTGGATCGTAGATATAATCTATCTGGGGGATGCCGGACAACTTCTTGGTTGCGTTCTGAGCTTCCGCACCATCGCCACCTTCCGCAGTTGTTTCTGCCTGTAAAATTTAGTAAAGAATATGTTTATTATACAAAATCAGAATCTCTTTTGCAAAATCCGGAAAGTATCTTTGCTACCAAAAACGGTCAGTACAGAGGTTTCCGTATAGAAAAAATACGAACAAAATGGCCTTATTTATGAGAGCCTTGGATGTTCGTATGAGAATTCATGAGGCTTTTTAATATAGTATCGGCACGCGAGGCATTCGACGAGTTGTATGGAATGGAAAGTAAGTCACCTTGTGGGCTGGGGCTCAGAGCCACGATACAGTTTCCTGCATGGAAATATGGTGTACTTGCATTATTTATATTCCTGTTATATTGCAAGTAATAATTAGATGGAATACATTAATAAGACTCTGCCTTTGTATCCACAACTGTTCTAACAAATGAAGTCATTTTTAAAAGTATAATGATTGTAAGCAGCAAGTAGTATTACCAATGCGTCATCTTCTGTCTCCGAGGTTTCCTCCGGCGCGCTGGTGGTGCTGGAGGTCTTAGCGAAGATGAGTGAGGTGGCGCGCACTGCCCGCGCTCCTGGCACCTCTACTGATACCACCAGAATTAACACACCTGGAAATAATCATTAACAACTATAAGATATAAATTTAAAGTGCCTTTGTTGTAGAATTTTGGCATTGTTGTAATGACATCAGAAAGCAAATAATTTTCTATTTATTCAGTTACTTGTCACGTTTTTCTCATTTGATTTGATGGTTTTAATCATTTTAACATTAAATAATTCTTACAGATATTACAATACAAAATGAATTATGATCCCTATCATAAAAGACATAATTCATTTTGTATTGTAATATCTGTACCCTGACCCTTCAAAAGATTTTTACATTGTCATATTACGAATACAATACGTATATATGCTGCAAGGAATGTCGTGTTTCGTTGTTAACTTGACAACTGCCATTAATAATGTTGATATCGATTGTTTCTTGTTTTAAAAATCTATAAACAAAACAACATTTCATTCTTAACACATGTAATCATTATTAATATATAAAACGTACGTATACAAACTTCATACGCATTTGTAAGGAAATTGTGCGAATGAAATTTGACAGTTGATTTTGGGGAAACATGTGCACATTATTTTACAATAATAGTAAGGAATTTGACATAGAGATATTTAAAAACTGCAGCGATATTAAATGATTCAAATTTTACTAGATGCGAAGAGAGAAATTAATCATAAGTTAATAAAACATAACCTTTTAAATATGCAATGAAACCATGAGATCATAATTATTAATAAATTTTACATATATTTATCATTTTAAATTAATTAAGAATTATCGATTTTTTTCGGTAAAACTTAACAATAAATTATTTATTTTATCTTAAATTAGTTTAGATTTTAATGCGTTTCTTATTAATGTTTTAATTACCCGCAGAGACAGACACACGGAGAGAGGTTACACAACGAAAACTCCATCTTGAATTTATTTCAAAGTAATAAAGTGTTAAAATCAATTCCATCCTTAACCTTTCGGTTATCGATCGTCTTCTCTTGAACTCCGTTTATTGCTTATTTCACAGTCAATCCTCGACTTTATAATAAATTTACTTATCTACAGAATTCAAGAGGATTTGAAGCAAACGTGAAATGTTACGCCATTCTATATCCTTGACTTTTGTGGCTTCGTGCTTTTATTAAAATAAATCTTCCAATAGATTATAGCTTATAGTCGTTTTTAGGTTAGAAAAGTACAATTTTTATGTCGGACTGCTAGTAAAGTTCTACGGTCATATATCTATCTCCCTCATTTTAATAGAGAAAATAGAGATAACAATATTTGTACCCATGTTCGGCTAATCTGGCACGATTTGTACGGACCGTTCCTAACGTCCAACAATTTGTTTGAGGTTTTTCAGTTTGCCTTACGCGCGATAGAGGGCGCTGCATAAAAACTAATGCAAGTCGATGCAACATGAATATTTTCTCGCCACGTGTTAGGTCCTCTGTAATGTGTATGTGGAAATAACAAGTGTCTAATTATTAACAAAATGTATTTTTTAAAGATTAAAGAAGTTAGTGGCAAAAAAGCCGCCCCCGGGTGGGCTCGAACCACCAACCTTTCGGTTAACAGCCGAACGCGCTAACCATTGCGCCACGGAGGCTTGCACAACTATGTCCAAAAATTAAAATCACAAGGAATAATCTTGCTTTAGATAATAAAACCAAGAATATAGGATATAGGATATAGCCAGCGGTATATAGCCGCTAATTTTATAACGTACACGAAATTAAAGTAACGTTTAGCATCGCTTTAAGTTAGCTTTCATCGTTGTACCATCGACTTTAACATATCCATTTAAAAAATCAGGAAATCAATACTTTATGACTCAATTTAAAATAGTTATGAGCCCAGCTTCCCGTTTCTCAACTGGTTGTAAACTGGTCTATTTGACATAATTTGTAAGCTTTTAAATTGTGTTCTAATGTCTGCAATACAATATTTAAATGTTAATTTTTGCGTATTTTAAGCATTTATCAAGGTCTGTAACAAGTGTATTTTATTTATATTAACTTAAGGATTTTATAAATAATACACTTCGAAGAAGAATACCAATAAATTGACATTTTAAAATCAGTCCAGTTTGTGCTACAGGAAAAAAATTAAGGCAATTTGAATTAACTATCGCACTGTTTAGACTCGCTTTGATTACTATGATCTTATATGGAGATCACAATACTCGATTTTGAGTCGTGCAACTAAACAGTTGAAATCTGCGAAACAATCGATAATCGCACGACAGTTGTGTGACAATTTAGTCAATGGTGTGCGCTTTTAGAAAAATCGCTGATTGTAAAATGATTGTGATTAATAAATAATTTTATACAAATCAAAGATGATATGATAAATTATAGATGAGTTACTATCAGAGTGATATTATCAGAAATTATGAGATTTTTACGACTTGTTTCAAGGTTAGCCGGTGTCGCGTTCTAGGCCAATTGCCTCGGCGACCTCTTTGCTAAAACATGTGTATTATTCGTAAAATATATTGGTTATAAAATAAGGTATCATCAAAGGATTTATGAATATTATAAACTTGTTAATTCTTATATTTGAACTGTATGTAAGTCTGGATAAAATATCAGTAACTATGTTACCCAGTATCTCTTTCGTCTCTGTTGTTTTCATAGAGAGTGAGGGTGACAACTATGAGTTCAAGTGTCTTGTACTTGTCTATGTTGACTTACAAAATAAGCTGATTCCAAGCCATCTGTGTCGAGCTCTCGTCATTCTGCCAGTTTGACCTGTAACAATACATAACATACATTTAATACCGTATTAAAATATTAAACAATATATTAATTATTAATAATAGAACAACATCATTTTTAAAACTGATAAGAGGAAAGATTTGTATTTTTGGATTTATTGAAATAACTCAAAAACTATTGGACCGATTACAAAAATTCTTGCACCGTTAAAAATCTATGTTATCACTGAATAACATAGGCTATGTTTATAATTTATTTCTTAATTGCACGCGTGCGAAGTCGCAAGCAACAGCTAGTAATAACATAAAAATATCCATAAAACTTTGAGACATGTCATGTTGTCTGTCTTCGTAACCAGACATCAAAAGTAGGTTAATAATAATTATCCGTTAAAATGATATGTTTGTGTGTTTTTGTAATAAATTGAATCATTTAAACCTCAGGGAAAATAGAGGTTTTCAACAAAAAAGATTTCAAGTGTAACTTTAACTCGTGTTTAATTGAATATTTTTTTAAACATAACAAGATTAAAATCTTCAAAACAATTAGAAAGTTTTATGTATATTCTGTTATATGAAACGTTGTTGAATAAATACGTTTATTTTATGACAAGCATCCGAGTGCGAGATGGCTATCGGACACCGGACACCGGACAAGATGCGTGGAAAATGTTCACGATCTCGTGTCCACGGAATAATATAAAACCGGCCAATTCAAATTGCAATAAAATCAAATATGCCACCGTCAAACTGTAAACTATTTTACTGCCAAAGTTGCGTGAAAAATTTGAAACGTTACCTTAAAATTTTAATTGCTACAACAATCCTTTGAGGATATAACATCACTAGCTGTTGCTTACGACTTCGCTCGCGTTATATAAAAACTATATATTATCAATACTTAGTGATAACATAGCTTTTTAATGGTGCAAGAATTTTTGAAATCAGTCCAGTAGTTTTTGAGTTATTTCAATACATACAAAAATACAAATCATTCCTCTTTATAGCATTAGTATAGACTGGTTAGGTAGTAAATTGTTCACAAAATTACGTTAACAGTACACAGGGCCTTGCATTGTTCCCACACGATAGCGTTTATTTGCAATAAAGTATACAAAGTTAGCATTTTTCTTTAGACAACCAGCTTGTAGGATTTATTTTAAAGGCCATGACGATCGGAATGGAAATACATACGTACAAGTGAGGCGAGTTAAACTTGCTGCATTAAAAATCAACACTTATTTGAATACCTTTACTAGTGGCTATTTCCACTTGTATGGAGGCGCTTATTTTCTATCTCCACCTTAGAAACCTGCGTTAAATACGTCCATATCTCATGGTGGAAATCTACCTTTGTTGAAAGTACAAAATTCAAACACAATTTAGTGACGTTAAAAGTTATTATACCATACATCTTTATTTCTTACTCTCTATATAATACATTTTACAAGAATATAAAAATTTAAATAAAATATATTATATAAAAAATAGAGCACCACCGGCTGCGGAATCCGATGACTCAAGCAACCAGTGGTCAGGGCTGCAGAGACAGGAACCTCCTCACTATTCGTGCGGTTTCTAAAATAACCGCCTTTTGAATCGGGCCCTTAATCCAACTGTCTAGCGAGAGCTTCTTGAGGTGTTGGTCGAAGCTCTTCGCTATCAGCCCGTGTGCCGAAACGACTATCGGAATAATGGTAGTCGATTTCATACGCCACATGGCGGTAATCTCGTGAGCCAAATCCAAATATTTTAATAGTTTTTCGTTTTCGGCTTTCAAGAGATTCTCGTCATGTGGGATAGTGACATCGACTAACATTACACAACTCTCAGACCGATCTATTATTACTATTTCAGGTCTATTGGCAGCAATAGTCCTGTCCGTAATAATAGATCGGTCCCAGTAGATCGTGATACGGCTATTTTCCAGAACTGGTGTAGGCTGATATTGGTAATATGGTACCTCAGACTCCACAAGAGCATATTTAAGGGCAAGTTGCTGATGGATAATCTTGGCCACTTGGTTATGTCTATGCAAGTATGCACCGTCCGCAAGGCGAGAAATACCATACTATTATTATAAAATTTAGATTAATGGTTTTTTGTTAGAATTTGTTATCTAGGTGATTGAGCAGATCTTAATGAAATTTGGTATAGATGTAGAGTGTAGCCTGGAAGAAAACATAGGCTCCTTCCACGCGGTCGAAACATAAAAACCAATATAACAACTTAAAATTGCGTAAGTTTGGAAGGATCTTTGTTAATACGTATCAAAAACAAGAAAACGGATCCCTGTGAAATATGTCACAGATGTAGAACATAATCTTAATTTTTAACTGCGAGGATGTTTTCGTGGGCAATAGTTATTTAAATATAAACACAGTGACGGTCTAAAATTCTTACGTTCGACCAAAAAACCGTTGTTAGTGGTCGCTGTCGCTTGAGTAACATTGACGTGACTAGAGTTTTGAAATCAAATAGTGATGCTTCTGTTTAACAAATTGTTTAGTGACGGAACTAAATTCGATTGGTCAGCATAATGTTTGGACGTCAATGTTAGTTTCCATTTTATTGCTAGTTTCGATTGTTGCATAAATATTGCAATTGGTAGTTACTTATGTAAATTACGAACAGGAAATGTTTCTGATTTATCTTGTTTAGTTGTTAATTGAATAGTAAACGATTGAATCGTTATGGACGTGGTTGCTTGTTATAAGTATTTCTGAAATTTTAGACAAATTTTTCGTTTGAAATAAATAGGATCGAACTTGTAAGAGCTTATGAGTTTATTTCCGATAACTTTAACTTACAATGAATTTCAGCTATCGTAGTACATATATAAGAAAACCGCTGTTCTCTCTTTTCTCAAAGATAATAAATGTTTTTAAATAAAACCCTTACCTATTGAGATTTGATTTAATGAAATATTTATGTTTGATAGCTTAGACTTCAACGGATTTAAATTTATTTTAATCTGTATTAAGTTACGGAATCAGTTTAAAACTAAATTTAGCAAGATCTTTAGTACTTTTAGTGTTAAAATCTCCTACTAAGGTTACTACGTTTAGTGGTTAGCATCGTAGGAATGACACGACATAAAATTATAACGTAATTTCTTTGTTTTCTTATTTAAACGCAAATATTTAATATTTTACATGTAAGTACTTAAATATTTTTATTTATTAATATCAATAATGTTTTATAACTTCCGAGGTAAAATATAAAAATAGTGAATAAATCATCACATCATCACCAGCTATACGTCCCCACCGAGGGGCTCGGAGCCTACGCTAAAGTTAGGGCGACTAGGCCATAGTCAACCACGCTGGCCAAGTGCGGGTTGGTCGACTTCACTCATATCTTTGAATTTCTTTGCCGATATGTGCAGGCATCACGATGTTTTACTTCACCGTAAGAATGTCGGGTAAATTATATACATATGAAAATTCGAAAAATCACATTGGTACAGCGGGATTCGTACCCAAGACCAGTAGATTACAAGTCAAGTGCTTAAACCACGGATCCACCGACGCCCATAAAGTGAATAAATACAATATTTTTATTAGATAGCTAGGCAAAACAAATAATACCTGCGTGCCGGAAATGTAATATTAGGTTATACTGAAATCTCTCATATCCCATCCGTTTATTTAAAGTAAAAGATGGGAAGGGGAAATTAAAGGAATTAAAATAACACAGAAATACAATAAAAAAGAACTTATAGATGGACAAGTTGCCATTTCATATGTTAATGTAGGTTTTAAATCCATCAGCAACAATACATCGTCTAATCTAGAAATCGTTTGACTACAGTTTTTACTTCCACACAGACGTCGCAGGCAACAGTCAATTTTATCACAAAATGTTTACAATTCGTTGTGCAATGTAATGTTATTTGTCAATTGCTCGCTGTTGTATCGTTTTGTAATCTGTTATTAGTAAGAGCTCGAGGTTGCTGTGAATTAGAATTGCTTAGCTCCACTCCAATAACAAATGTTTAAATCGGGGACACGTCTCCATTGTTATACGTCAATATTTAATTCATTTGCATTGGTTTAAATTAATCTTAAGTTTGAAATCCAAAAAAAGTATTAGGAACTTAAAATATTGAAGGTTGATTTTTACTTCATAATCAATCAGTGAAATAGAAACCCAAAAGAATATGATGCTAGGTATACTTATAAGCGTGTCCTTTTTTGTTAAAGTTAACAAACAGACAAAAATTAAAAGCAATAGTTACCAAACAAACACGCAATGTCCCGAAGCAACAAAAACGGTTGAATACTAATAAACATTATTAAAAATAATATTCCCTAATTTAAAAAATACATTTAACAATCTATTCTTTCCAAAAAAATGATCACTGAATTAATTAGCTAGAAAAAGCAATGATATTAAGTTATTATTATGTCGCGCTATAAAAACCGTATGACGTGCGACGTTGGAAACAAGCACGTTACACTCTGTCGCGCACTTTCACTATAGCTCGCTAGGCCGTGCTTACCCCGTGTGGGCAGCGCGCATAGCTGAACACGTGGGATATGGGTTCCAATCCTTTAAACCAAACGGGGCAGGCAAGGTATATATAGAGTAGACTAGAATCCAGATAAACTATCTAAACTAATGTACGCGAAGTGATTGAAACCTGTAGGTTACGGTGAACGGTATTCCCGAAAGTAGTCAAGTCTCCTAGGACTCCTGGGGTCTATATGGTTCCGGCAAGAGTGTAAAATATCAGGTAAGAAATGCAGGCAGCACAATTAGCGATATTTTAAATGTTCTACAGGAAATAAAGGTTGTTATGTCCTAATCAATAGATGGCGTTAGTAGTATGTACTACCAAATACATCTGCATACCATACGTACATACATGTAATAACAGAGTAATATGTTCTTTTTTAGTTAAAACTAATAGTATTTAATATAAGTTTTGCAATCTTTTAAGTAACACAAATTGGTTTTCACTCATTTCGATAACTAATATATCTTGTAGGATGGGCTACCTTTATTTTGACCTCTACATGTGGTATAGTC